CTAGTTTTTGGAAAAATTAACCGGAGACCTAGTTTTGGGCTCGTATTCGGTTATTCGAATAATTTATTCGGTTTCTGCCCAGGCCTACCAGAGACCAAGTAGCTGGTGAGCTCTGACTCCTTTTTGTTTTGCTTTAGTAGCTCGCAACTGCATAAGGTCATGTGAGTGCCAGAAGATTTGAGGTGCTACAAGAGAGTAACAAACATAAAAAAGGAGGGGAGATAAGGACGATAGATGTTTGATCTAAGGAAAGAAGAAGCAAACCACACCAGAGCACCCACCAACCACCCACGTTCTGACTCCTAAAAATGTGAGGCATATGTCAGCGACACAGCATTAATGTTGGTGGTCACTGGTGTGTGACCTTGATCAAGACGCGACAACCCAAGTTCAAACAGAGCACGCCATGGTGGCAACCAGGAAGGAATGGCATGTTTACAAGATTGCCTCTATTGGCATTATACAATTTGCAAAGAAATCATGATTTCTTTCATCCAAATCAAAAATAGACTTAACCAAATGTTCTTTTTCTCCCAGTTTCCTCACAACATCAACAAATGACAATTGTAATGTAATTGTACATATTTCTAACCCTCATTGATTCAATTTAGATTATTTATGAGGTGGACTGCTTCTATCCCACCAGTCAGGTTGAGAGGAATACTACATCCCAGCAGAAACTTGGAGACACCCTATAGCAAAAACCACCCCACACGTGAAAAGAACTCATCTCTTCTTCATGAAGCAGCATATCGTCTAACCACAACATCACAGACACCGGAAAGGGGGTGAGAGGTAACAGTGTTCGCCTCTCATTCAATAGGTCCCATGTTCGAATCCAGAAAGCAACGGACAATTTTCTTCTCCAGAATTTTCTCCTTTCACCTCCTTTCCTACTCTCTAACAATGTTCTGTTGTCTGTTTTCGTCTCCACTTTCTGCGCCCCCCCCCCCCCTTACCTCCTTTACCCCCTCATCTGGGCTCCTGACTCTACAGCCTTTCTATGGCTACTCGTTGGCTCCTTCTTACTGCTGTCTTTCAATCACACCCCTGATCTTATGGTGGATAAGATCTAACATCTAGCCTTCTAGTATAAGGGCGAAAAAACTTGGAGGTCCATGTGCAAGTTGCCTACATTTAAAGATCCCTTGGCGGTCCAAAAGCGATAAGAGTAGGCTTTGTCCACCACCCAGGCAAAATTCCAAATTTCCTACCAACTGGTAATGTTTAATGCATCGCCCGCACTCATATGACCTTATGCAGTTGCGAGCACCGTAAAACACTTACCAAAAAAAAAAAAAAAAAAGACAACGGTAAGAAATGGCAAGTGTGGCAGTGGATTAACCAGCCCCAAGAAACACAACAACCAGTCTGTCACTTACCTGAATCATCCGCTGTCTCTGTGTGGCTCTCCAGCATGCTGTCAGTGTTGGAGCACAACAGTCTGTCTCCCAGCCCAGGGTTGATGAGAATCACTTCTGAGCCCCTGAAATAGACAAAGAAAAAGAGTCAATATGTGATTGTGCAAGAGAATCACTTCTGAATCCCTGAAGTAGACAAAGAAAAAGAGTCAATATGCGAATGTGCAACAGAATCACTTCTGAACTCCTGAAGTAGAAAAAGAAAACGAGTCAAAGTGTGAATGCGCACGCTCGACTGGTGATACGACTGAATCAACAGCAAAACTATTCATTTGCATTAAAGGTAAAATAATGAATGTACAATTATCACATCCACATTGGCTCATTCAGATGTGTCACGATGCGGTGGAATCAGGCGCTCGTCAATTTTTCAGCATATCGTCGGCCTTGTGATAAAACCGACTAACCCCAGCGAGGTAAATTTTACAGGAAAAGGAAAAAACTGTTTTCTTTCAAAACAAAGGCATCTAACGATAAATCAATGCTTTAAACACCTATAAAAACACTTTACCGAAAACCTGTAGACCCTTTTTTCCTTTAAAAATTGCTTTTAATGAAACTGTGTGGGTTAGACGGTTATGTCGCTCAAATTTTTCAGGATAAAACCGACCAACCCTCAATTTTGTGGGTTGACCGGTTTTATCAGGAAGCCACTGCTGGCCTTGAGTTTGGTTGAGTGCAGCCAAGCCACACTTGACGGTAACGTATTTGATCACTTGCTTCAATCGTCAAGATCTTTTGTAGTAGAAGAAGAAGAAGAAGAAAAAGAAGAAGGAGGAGGAGGAGGATAAGGAGAAAAAAAAAGGAAGAGGAGGAGGACTATATTATTGCTACCAACATACTATCAGCTGCTGCCATTTCAGTGCTACGGAGTCAATTCGGGGGAAAACAGAAGTCACAAAGTTGAACCTTTAATAGAAGTAGAAGAAGCAGAACACAGCAATGGGTATATTAATTACATTTAAAGTAGAAGAACAGGAGGTTGAAAGGGTAAGGGAGAGCAGCTACAGCAACAACTACAAAAACAACAACTACAACAACAACAAAAACAACAGTAGTAGCAGCAGCAGCAGTAGGCCTTTAGAATTTATGACCATGTCTGACACGGTACTATTGGCACTGGGTGGCCATTCAAAGGCCTGGAAAAAAGTAATACTGAGAAAGAAATGAAAGCAGAAAGCCACACAAAAGCTCTGCTACCTCAGCATTGGTTTGAGAGAAGTTGGTTACTTAATGATATATCATTATTATACAAAAAGACTGTGTGAGTATCAAAGAATGCGCCAGCTTTCTCCAAGGTGCGTGGCTTGACAACTACTAGTTACTACTACTTTATTGAGTTTTCTCGACGATAGAAGAGCATGTCTGTCCCACTCTGTGTCCTATGGCTACAACAAGGCAATACGACAAAAGTTACCATTGTTTTGAAAGACTCTACAATAATTGAATTTGGCTTGATCGCCTTCAAAACTTCTTACTGAGGCAAAGTTTCATGGTAATTGTGGTAGCATCGTGGTACGACGGCCTTCAACTCCAGTAAATGTTTATACTGGTTGGCAGTTATCTTCAATCTGTCTTTGCAGAGAGGTCCAGCAGTAACTGTCGTATACATGGTGTTCAGCTTTCTTGGTCCTTGCAGCACCTGCCATCCATCATCAAAGTTCAGCTTGTACTGAATTTTAAAGACTGGAATGTACTTTGATGCCTGCAAGTCAGTGACAGTAGGATCGCCTGCTTTTCTCCCTGGACGGATTGTTTAGTGCTCTCCGACTTTTGCGAAATCTTTGAAAAAGCTGTGGTCCAGGTACATAACTTCATAGAGCCTGGGGATGCGTCTGGCTTTGAGCATGATGTTCACGTAGTCCATTGGGATGTACATCCGTGCGTTTTTTAGCGATTGCTCAATAGTGCCATGGACTGAATCCACTTCCATTTGGGTATGGCCCTCGGGGAGAATTTCTGCTCAACTGTGATGTCAAGCTCTTTGGCCAGCGAGGCCATTGCACTCACCAGGGTGGCATTTCTGTTTTAGTAGTTGCACCAATCACTGCAGATGATGAAGTGGTTGAAGTCAGTCACTTGCAATATCAGTTAGTGAGTCAGACATGATGAAAACTGTTGAAGCCCAGACCAACTTTACTTTCATACCAGACATATCATCTGGCGTCTCTGGTGGCAAGATCCTAAGTCGTAACATTGTGTACAGCCTGTTTTGTTTTATATAAGGTGGAAGTCTTTAGTGATGAGGCCAGAAGGACGCACTGGATCTCCATACAAAGGACACACATAGCCTCCCTGTACTTCTCCTTCTCTGGTCTAGCTGCAGCTTTCCTCATATTCATATTTGAGCTGTGTGTTCTGTTTCTGTGAGGTTTCCAGATTTGAACTTTGTACAAATGTTGCACTGGTCTTTCTTGGTTGAAAGTAAACCCAAATTGTTTTTCTTGAACTTTTGGCAGAACACTTGATAGCTCAATGTGGCTTTCACCCTCTCTGCAAAGTTCTCCATGTATACTTGATGCAGATCTGACGTTTTCTGGATTGTCATCTGTAGACAGGAGGATATCTTCGAAAGTTTGTCAAAAAATTCCTCTTTATGGAACAACTTGTCATCCTTGGCTCTCTCATGGTGGGTGTGATGTGTTCTAGGGTGGGGGTGGACCTCTGGTTTTTTGGGGGGGTTTTCGGAGAAGACACTTTAAATAAACCAGTGGGTCAGGCCTATGGTGTTCTTGAAGATTGTGTTACAAACAGGTGTTCTTTGACCATTGACTCTTGTAAGTGGTATTCAAGGCTGTAATTTCTCCTTGG